TATTGTTAAGTTGACTCCAGATACAGATTTGTAGGATGCGGACATTAGGCGGAAGGACAGTTATATCTTAAATGTTATGCTTTTATGTTCGTTTTATATTTATCTAAGTGAGTCGAATAAAGGGCCGACGTCAATTCTCACAATAGTAGGTTTCAAGGATTGATAGATCGATGAGATAACTTGTGTCTAACGTGTTCGTTCTTCAGAATTCTCAAGACAGATCTGGTTAACCAGCCAGAATTCAGTTTTCAAGTTTGAGTCTCAAAGGTTGTGTTTACTGTAGTAAACATAGTTGCATTCAACTTAGAACCCATACAGTGGTAAACGTGGCTGCAACTATATGTCGGTGATCAGGTCTATGGGGTTTTCAGTGTGCTGGACAAGAGCCTACGAGTTTGAATTCCAACGGTACGTGACCGGACGACTTCATTGATGATTCTGCCTCTAAATTAATCCATTTGATAGGGGATGCATTGAAGTCTTCCACTCTAAAACTTCTCCATTTGTTTAACCAGGATTGTAGTTTATTAAGGAGGAGATATTTCCATTTACATTACGAGCTTCAGCATGCTGCAGCATGTTCCATGTCTTGTTCCATACATTTCATCTCACGGCATACCAGTTCACATGTTTTTGAGCTGTGTACCACTGTTTCTACAGCTTGTACGTTCAAGATCTTCAGGTCCAGGGTGACGCTACCTTCTTCACAGTTTGGTGTGTCCTATAAAACAGAAAAAACCAACCCCTTAAATTTCGCTATAATTTATTTCCGGTGCTGTCCACATTCCTGAAATGTCGATGGCCTGGGAGTTTTCTGTGACAATCACATTTTTTAGCTTTGGCACCTTGTTCAGCGGAGTAAGATAGGTGGTATTATAGACAGTCAACTCTGTTTGATACTTACTTGGTCTATGCACAGTGGTCCGGGTTTACTTGTCCCCCCCTAACAATGAGATTTTTTCCCTATTTCGACATCATTTATATTTGCTGGTTTCAGGTATATTTAATTGTGACCGGTGCAGACTCAGATTCCAATCACAAGAAGCTTGTGTAAGTTTCTAAGTAACAAGTCACATTTCATGGTGAAGGCAATAGGTACCTTAAAATTAAGTTATCTGTTTAAACTGTCAGTATTCTGTTACTTACGCCTGTTCCTCTTTCATGGAGGAGCATGGGCCGACCACCAGCATTCTCCATCGATTTGTATCCTGGGACATCCTTTCCAGTTGTTTTGGCTGGTATTCATTCTTTAGTTGTGTGCGTCCTATCCCCGACACAATGTGTTCTTTGGTCTCCCTCTTCTCCGTTTCCCTTATGGACTCCAAGTTAGCACTTGCCTCATGATGCGGTTTGGTTTCCGCAATGTATTTCCTATCCACTTCCAACGTCTTTTCCTAGTTTCCTCTTAGAATGAAAATCGGTTTGTTCTCTCCCACAGTACGCTGTTGCGAATGGTATGTGGTCGACGGACATTCAGGATCTTACGTAGACAATCGCTTATTAATACTTGAATCTTCCTGATTGTGATTGTATTAGTTCTCCAAGTTTGAGCTGCTTACAATAGAACATTCTTGACGTTTGTATTGAAGATTCTGACTCTGATGTTGGTTGACAGTTTATTTGAGTTCCATATGCTTTCCAACCGTAGGAACGCTGCCCTCACTTTGCAAATCCTCGCGTTTACGTCTTCATCGGATCCTCGTTCATCAGTGATGCTTCCCAGGTATGTGAAAGGTTCCACATCTTCCAGAACTTCTCCATCGAATGTGATCGAGTTAGTTTTCTCCGTATTGTATTCCTGATGATGTTGACGATTTCCTCAGGCACACCAGCGTCGGTGAAGGTTCCACAAAGTCCTTCTATCCACACTATCAAATGCTTTCTAGTGAAGGAAGTTGATGTATAGTGGCGAGTTCCATTCAATTGATAGTTCAACGATGATTCATAGTGTCTTTATTTGGTCTATGCACGATCAATCCTTACGGAATCTGGTCTGCTGATCTCAAAGCTAGACGTCTACTGAACCTTTCATCCGGTTCAGCAACACTATTGAAAACTTTTCCTGGTACTGCTAGTAGTGTGATTCCTTTATATTTATTACATTTTCTGAAGTCTCTTTTCTTTGGTATCTTGATGAGGTATCCTTCTTCCCAGTCTGTTGGCACTTGTACCCCCACGTCTTCCTGAATATTTCGTAGAGAATCTGTACAGTTACTTCTGTGTCTGATTTCAGTGCTTCAGCTGGCATACTGTCAGGTCCTGCTGTTTCCTCACTGTTGATTTGTCTAATGGTCATCCTGATTCCTTCGATCGTTGGTGAAGTGACATCTATAGGAAGGTCTGTAGGTGCTACTTCAATGTCTGGTGGACCAAGTGAAGCTGGTCTATTCAAGAGTTCCTCGAAGTGTTCTACCCATCTGTTCCTTTGTTGAACGTCGATGATTGTCTTGCCTTGTCCTTGACCGGTCTCTCTGACTCACCACATTTCCCTGCTAGTTTCCTCGTTCTGTCATATAGCTGTCTCATATTTCCTTCTCTTGAAGATTTTTCCACTGTCGTTGCTAGCTCTTCCACATATTTCTGCTTGTCGGTTATGTTGCTCTTCTTCACTCGCTTGTTTGCTTCTGTGTATTCAGCTTGTGCCTCGACTTTCTCTGCTCTTGTCCGGCTGTTGTTGATTGCTGTCTTTTTGTTCCTCCTTTCTTGAATCTTGTCTATGGTTTCGATAGAGATGCATTCCTTATGATGATGCTTATTGCGGCCCAGGACCTTCTGATACTTTAAAGTAAGTGCTTCTTTGATCCCTTTCCAGTTGCCATCAACAGTAGTTTCTTCTTTCCGTAGGCCCTGTTGTTGAGAGTCATCTTGAATTCGTTGAGTTTGCCAGTATGTTGAAGGAGAACTGTATTGAACCTTTGTAATACTGTTTCCCCAGTTTTCCGTTGCTTGTTTAGCTTCATTTTCATCTTAGCCACAACCAGGTGGTGATCTGAAGCTGTCAGCTTCTCTCCTGGTTCTCACGTCTTCCGTTGACCTGAGTTTTTTAGTGATGCAAATATGGTCGATCCTGTTATGGCTGTGGAATTCCGGAATATAACCTCTGAGGATGAAGATCTATATAGATTTCAAAATTAAGTGAAGGTGGATACAAAGTCAACTTTCAAAATGTTTTCACTACATTAATTTACGAATTCTTAATACTTTTTCACTGTTTTTATTCAGTGACAAATAGTCATTCATAATTTATAATCACTGTAATGGATTTACAACCGATTGACTTAAATGCACTTCTAACTCTACTTGGAGAAACTACACTTCATACTGAAGTTAGCGAAACAAGGAATCCAGATTTAATCCAAATAGTGTTATTTATAATATACACATAAAAGTCATTATTCTGGAGTTACTGATAGACTTAGTACAATTCAATAACTTTACAAGTTTTGGATTGAATTCATTGTGGGCACTAAATATGTTAATAGACCACCCTAAATAGTAACTGGTTGGACTTTTGACACCAAATTAATACCTTTAAATGACCAGCTCCACGGTGATCCCTCTAGTCTGGTTCTACTTGTTATTGATTCGGAGTCATTATGCTTCAAAAACTAATCAGTAACTTTTGCTTTGGACGAAAACCAAAGGGAGTTATTTACGTAATATTCAGTGACTTATTATTTCATACCGAACCTTTAGTTCAACCCTGTATGTCTTTTTAAAAGTAAGAATAATCGAATAAGTAATGCTGAGACTATGCACAGCTTTTCATTTAGCTATGCTAAGCTGTGAACCTTCATTGATATGGTTTGAAACATATTACTGATGAGCAGCCACCATTTACTTTGACGTTACGATCTGACTAGCATATGAGTAAACTTGGACTTAAGGTGATCGGATATGCCCTTGATTTGTTAGGTTGAACTTCGCCATGTTGGGTTGTATTAACTACCTAACTGAAGCTCCTAAGATTATTGTCGTCTATAATTGAAGACCTTTGAGGACATGGCTGAAAATCTACAGCGATTGCATAGATGTATTCGTCCTTTATCTGCTCATAAGTTTCGAGTTTAAATAGTTGAAAAACCCTGATTGCAAACTAATGGTGCACATGGGCTCCAGTATCCTAAAGGAACAAATGGCGTATGGACCTGTTGTAACGTGAGACGCTGCTGATTGGAGGTTAGCGAATTACCGATCGATTACAAAGACGCGTAAGACACGCAAGAACGGCCTAGAGTTCTGATTGGTCTCGCTTCCCTGTCTAACCCAGCCAGTTGAGTCCAGAACGCAATATGAACGCGATATGAATCATTATATTTGAGACATACTCTGTTTATATACCAGTCAAACAGACCACATCGTACCATAAAATTGAAAACAACAATTGTACAATATTTGACAAGTGAAATAAACATTGACCAATAGGAAATGCCCACTTAAAGTCCAAGGACACCATTAGACTTAACAGGATAATTATTGATATATTTTTCTGAATATCCCAACAGAACCAATCGTTGGTCACCGGCTACCATGAAATTGCATCTCCCTATGATGCTCCACTGCCTTGTGTATCAGAACTTCAGGTCGAAGTCTCCGGGTGTGGCCCCCTAAGAAAACCATCTTCGGTTTAGGCTCTCACACATATCAAATGAGATTTGTGTGGCGCATATGTATTTGGTGCCTCCTTGTACCAATATCTATGTGTTAAAATAAATAAATAAGCGAAATGTTTTCCCCTAGGTCTCTTTTTTCTGTTTTACATTCTATCTTTCACTCAATTGTTCTTCATCTTTTTATTTTACACTCTATTAATTGGAAGTGTATTAACAACTTTGATTGATGGGAATTTATTCTATGTTCTTTTTTAACCATTGGGTAATTTGAAAATGCAGGATTCATTGACTAACTAGTGATTTTTTTTCAAATGATAGTTGCAGACGTTTCTTGCTTGAATTAATAATGAAGTATCTGTGAATTGTGTGTGAAATTGAAAAAGAAAAATGAGTAAAAATAAAGGTATTATTTTGTAATTACAATTGATCGATTCACTTGCTCTTTCTAAATCTTTAAGTTCGCCAACATTCTAGTCGTCGTAAACGATACAAAGAAGTGGTTCAATCACGTGTGAACAGTAAAACTCCTGTTCAATATACTCGTCGATTAAAAACAAAAAAGCATAAAAAATTAAAAAATATTGGCGCAAATAATTCAAATTTAGGTATGTTCTACTTTTTTTCTTTCTTTGTATTTCATTGCAATCCTACTCTCTCTATATATATATGCAATTGCTAATTGTCTATTCATCATCAGAAATATACAATCGTCCACCTAAATTTAATGATGAAGAATATGTTCCAGCTAGTTTTAAACAAATGTTACTTATGAAAGATGGTAAATGGAAAACTCTATTTGATCCAGGTATACAATGTTTATTTGTTTGGTATATAGTTTATTTCATTACAATACAGCTGTTGGAGATACTAAAGGTATGAAGAAAAAAGATGATCCAGTTCCTGTCTTGAAACAAGGTAAACATGAATCAGATGCTCATTATTTGGGACGACTTCATAAAGAAGTTGAAGATGAATTAAACAAGGTGGAATTCTCCAAGAAACAACGAGTAATATTATTACATATATATACTTTTTCAATATTTTAATAACATTAATTTAGACTGAACTTATTCCTGTTACAGAAGTTAAACAAAGTAAAAAGAAACGTAAAGCTATAAAGTAAACTTCGATATTGATTTGGCGTTATTTCCTTTTTTTTAAAAAAATTTAAAGACGTTTAAATGAGAAACGTAAAGAAAAACGTTTACGTACTATTGAAAAACGTTTGACAGGGTTTGAACATTTACAAGGTTTGTATTCATCACTTCTATTACTTTATCAATAATCAATATATAGATAAAGTGAAATTCAATGAAGTTGTTATGGCACCTCCATTACAATTGACTAAACCTAAAATGGTATTTAAGAAAAAATTGGATCAAATACATAGTTTAGACAAGTTAGTTTAATAATTTTAATATTTTGTTGTTGTTGTTGTTGTTGTGTGGATAACTAGATTCTTATGCTATTCATTATCTATTTCTAATGTGTTGCTTTTTTTTTCTAGCCTGAAATAATATTTGTGCTTGTGCTTTTCACAAATCAACGAAATAAGACTGGTATGAATGTTAGTTAGTTTCAATTTCTGACCTAGAATATGCCGATGACGTAGTTTTATTTGGTGAAGACGCTGAAAAAATGCAGAGTTTTCTGACCACTCTAAGCAACAATGCAAGCATGTTCGGGATGCGATTCTCCCCCCTCGAAATGCAAAATGTTGCTTCAGGATTGAGTTGCATCGACACCTGAACTAGTGATAGGGGGTGAAGTAGTTGAGCGTGTCGACTGCTTCATTTATCTTGGAAGTCTCACCAGCCCTTGTGGTCTGGTGTGTGACGAAATCTCAGCACGGATACAGAAGGCCCGACTAGCTTTTGCCAACTTGCGTCATTTATGGCGTAGGTGAGATATCCGTCTATCAAACAAAGGACGTGTTTACTGCGCAGCAGTTCGTCCCGTCCTACTTTATGGCAGTGAAACATGGCCGGTCAGAGTAGAGGATATCCGTAGGTTACAAGTATTTGGTCATAGGTGTCTTCGAAATATTGCTCGTATATCCTGGGACCATCGAGTAAGCAGTGCAGTTGTTAGGAAACGGGTACTAGGTAAGGATAGCAAATCAATTGATGGTGTAGTGAAACTTGATCAGTTGAGATTGCTGGGACACGTGTTGCACACACACAACCGCCGACTACCTCGACGTACGATGCTCAATGGTATAGGAGTAGGTTGGAAGAAAGTTAGGGGCGGCCAGACCAAAACATGGCACAAATCCATGAAGTCACTGACAAGTAGACTGAGTCATGTTGGTAGGTGTAGACTACCTGGTTGGGGACCGCGAGATGATAGCAACCGACGGTTGGAGATTTTGAATGACATGGCTCAAAATCGTTTGCAATTGCGCAGGTGCATCCACTATTTGTGCTCTCCCAAATTCTAATCTTCTCAACTCTTCATGTCGTTTTTCCTCTTTCCAAACTTATTCCACTGGATTATACTCCTTGGATAACATCTTCAAACCCTAATTTTTCTGATTACAGTTTATAATTTTACTATATCTAGCACTGCAGGATTTGAATCGACAAGTGCATCTCTGTGCTAATGTGGTGTGGCAACTCGAACTGATGTACGTATGTACGAAGTTCTACGTTGTTGCTGACTGACTGACTGACTAGTTAGTTTTTATCCTAGAGAATGTGAGAGATGGAAAAAGGAATAAGCTCTTACTGATTTCCAGGAAGACTAAATATTTGTTTTGATGTTTACATTCAACCAATTACTGGGTAGTAGCCAATGTTTTGGTTGTAAAACCTTGCTCTTATAAGCTAAAGATGTTGGCGACTTAGTTCTATCATTGTTAACTCTGAAAGATTCTCGATATCCTCTGTTACCACCATATTAGTTTTGCTGAAGTTCGCAAATCGGATTAGGTCGGTCTGTGATGACTCTCAGATTGGGGTCCTTGAAACGTCAAGTGCGGTTCAAAATATGAGCCAGTAGTTACTCTATCGTAGTATTTTTTCTACATTGTTCATAAAAGTGTAGTATCACTTAACTGAAAGAAATCTTTGTTGGTTATATTGTGGTTTATGCTACTGATGTCGATAGATATAAGTAGCATGTATCATCAATCGAAAGTAAAATGCCTGGAGGCAGAAGGAACAGTCAAGTTTGAGACGATTGATTGACATTTTGCAAATGAAGAATTTACTGCATGCTTCTCAGATTTAACTAAGATATTGTGTTCAAATACATTCGATTGTCCCCGCTCGTGTTCTCGTTCACTACAATATATCTAACTGATATTTATCTTCTATTATATATTTTCCTTTTTTACGATGTCCTCTCTCTGTTTTGTGTTGCGCATTCTGTTTTGAGTGGGTAGGTGCAATATATTTTATGCGTATTATGTAAAGAAATCTCAATATCGCGTTTGCTCAGTGTAAATAGATTCATTTGCAATGTGGTCACCATTTTAAGTGAACAGACATGGTGGTGCACGTCGATATTTATAATTATAGATAAACTTGTTGAATAGAGACACTAATAGCTCAGTGATAACTTCTATAACTATCATGGTGACACAAATTCGGTTTCCATGACAGTCATCAGCTCTTTAAAGATTGTGGATATAGCTTGCTGCTAAACACCAACTAATTCCAAGTCTAGACTGGAGGCTTCTTTGTGATTGACTCCAACTATTTATTTATTTGAAAACATTACTATTGGTACAAAGGGCCTCCGAATACGTATGCACCACACAAGTCACTTGATTTGTGTGTGGGCTGTGATAATGCTCAGGTACCCAAACCGAAGCAGGTGGTTTTCTTAGGAGGCCACACCCGGAGCCTTCGACCTAAAGGTCTGATCCACAAGACAGTGGAGCATCGTAAGGAGATGCAGTCTCATGGTAGCCGGTGACCAACGATTGGTCCATGCGCCATTTGTTCCTTCAGGATACTGGAGCCCATGTGCACTATTGGTTTGGAATCAGGGTTTTCCAACTCCCCTAGGTGAACTCTCCATATCCATCAACCCGATTAAAGCGACAGTCATTCGCTTTTCGTCCACTCAATTTCGTAAACAACACCGCTGGTGCGAGAAGGCGGTGAGTAGGACTTCCTTTAAAGTTGCTGTATACACATAGGCATGTGAGAGCATTTTGAGAGGGAGAGCTGACTCTCCCTACCCTCGGTCGTACCAGGGCATTTGGGGGACCTGAAAATTGCACTGCATCTTCTGTTTATCTGGTGGCAGTTTACATAATGGTGTTGTAAATAAAAAACATGATTTTATTTTCTGAGGTCAGTACTTCGAGTGCTAGTTGTGCCTAGATTTCGAGTGAAATTTTCTCTAGTTCGTAATTTATTTTCATTACTATGACAAACGAGTATACAAGCGGAAAATATAACTGTTCAGAAAGTTAATTTATGTAAATCGAAAACTTAAATACAATCTCTGACTGTAATATTATTAAACAAATTCACGTAATAATGTAGTAACTTTCTGAGAGTCGGTTGTCTTTTAAGAACTTCGGTCGTAATCGTAAATAAGAAACTAAATTTTGGATGCTAGAAGATCTTCATAATTAGTCACAGTCTTCTTAAGATAACATTGATGGGAAGTGTAACTTTACCTGGAAACGTTAATAGTAATGGGATTGTGTTTATGCACTTCTGTACAAGCATAATAACCTTAAGGTCAAAACATTAACGGTGATATTTTCGATTGATTGATCACTGAATAGTGACCAACGTCATGCTTGTGAATTCTTCTTAGTACTGACCGAATCGTATCAATCGAACTGGAATGTGGCCACTAGTTTACGTGATTCGATATCGCGTGTATCATGTTCTGATGTAAGGTGCAGGTTTGGGGTAGTCAACAGGAAACCGTGTACCCAGGTCTCGTGCTGTTTAACTTTTGTCAGAAGGATGGACCTGTAGTCTTGAGGGAACTGATACTGCGTGTCAGACCTGAGCTCTCGTCACCAAGGTTCACAGTTGGAGGCGCCATCACTGAACTGTTCGAGCTGAGACTGAATTTTAGTAGAACTGAGATATGTGTACAACAGATTGATCATTGGGTATTAGCCACAGTGCTTATTCACTTATCCGCTTAACAGAACACTCATACTATCATATATGTCCAGTCTTGTGATAATTCGACGGTTGGAGACAGACATGTGAAGCTACAGCAAATATACACAACTGTCTTGTTACATCCGTCCCACTTTTGAATCCATTCGGTGACTGCTCTCTGTCGAGTTAATAAACTTTCCCTGGTCTATACATGTTTACTGTATTTAACGGTCAAATTATTGGGTTACTGTGTATATCAAGCAATCAAGTATCGCGAACAATTTTTTTCCCCATACATACGCATACATACATGCATTCAGAATTTTTTTCTATCAGATTTCGTATTCGAAAACGGTTATCCTGATTGTTTTAATTGCGAACCGATGTTAGTTCGGGAATCTCTGAAAGCAAGTAAGCGTTCGACAGTTGTTTATTCCTAGTTTGCTGGGCTTTCACAACAATTATAGACATACATATTATCGAACTGAATGACCCAAGTTTTATAATGTTCACGATGTCATTAGACTACTGAATCATAATCCAGTAGTTTATATTTGTAAATTCAGTCGATTTTCGATATATTTTTCGTTTCGGAGTCCGAGAATGCAATTGATATCGAACGTGATAAGCTACGCCAGGTGCTGATCAACAATGAATATCCACCTAGATCTATCAAAAAATCTCTGAATCCAGAACAACAACGTGAAAGTGTTCACTGCACCAGACAAGAATCATCATGGACATTCAGTTTAAAGGACATACTGAAGCAGAAATTCTGAAAAACAGACTTTCGAGATCTCTGAGAAAAACATTATAATCGGTTTTGCTTTGTATTATCCTTTCTAGTGGTCCTATAATTCGTAGTTGTGTGAATGATAAACTCTCACTTTGAGCCAAACCAATGCATGCCTATCACTGCTTACTAATGTGGATCGGGTTATATTGGCCTCACAAAGCAAGCATTTTCAAAACACATCCCTGAACATTACCCTTCCTGGCTTTCTAAAGGATTAAAAAAAGTTAGTCAGAAGTTCAATTTTGGAGTATCTAGTCAATTCCGGTCACTTTCACTTTACAGGAGTTTCCTCCGAAATCATACATACAATCAGAAGATTCGGCTCAAGAGGAATGCAATTGAATAACCTAATGTACAGCAAAGTCTGTTGTTATTCACTAGTCCAAGCCTGACCTTTGCGTACAAAGCAGTATGTTCAGTCCCTTATTCTACCATGGTCTTAACTTTCTCTTTTATCTTGTATAATCTATATTTTTTTAAGAAAAAAAATTGCTTCTACGCCTTCTCAATTATTTTCACAACGATTAATTAGCCATTATTGCAATTTTCAATCATTCTCTTCTTAATAGTCATTAAATGGACACTTATTTTCACGTTATCACTATTCATTAACCAGTTATCACATTACTTTAAATACATCTCGTTTTCGTAGACAGTTCATGACAAGATCATCAATCTACTGTTTTTAATACTCAACACTGTTCTACTTTACTGTGGTCTACGATTTCAGTAAATAATATTAACTGTAAATACTATTGTATAACTTAAGTGAATGAAATCGTTGAAAGGGAAATTTCCCTTGCTCAATTGTCTTCTTTCTTCTTCTTCTTCTTCTTCTTCTTCTTCTTCTTCTTCTTCTTCTTCATTGATACAACGAATCTCGTTTGTCACTTTATTGTTGTATCTTCTTACATCTGTCAATCATAACATTTTGTTGACCTTACTGTTAATAATCTACACGTTCTTTGTGATCGATTATGTTGTAGTGAACGGAAACACCAGTGAGGACAACCAAATGTATTTGAATACAACATTACAAAATATCTTGGTAAAGTCTGACAACCATACCGTAAATACTTCATTTACAAAATATCTATCAATTGTCTCAGACTTTGTTGTTGCTTCGTTTCCATACCACTCACTCTCTGTTCTTGTTCTCTTCTCTTCGATTTTCTCAACCTTCTACCATCGGGAATTCTACTTTCGATTGATGATATATACTACTTATAACTATCAACATCAGTAGCACACATCACAATGTTAATGTTTCTCACTCATTTTCAACATATTCCTTCATAAAATTAACCAGTATGAATATGGAATACCATTTCAATTGTTTTTCACTGTTGTATTAAATGTGCGTCTACTTAGAAGAGGCTGATTTTTAGTGTTAACTATAAATGTCTGATCATTGGGGTATCTATTATTTTCGGGAGATTTCGATAGTTGTTTCTAAAAAGCTTGAGTTGTTGTTCGGTCAATCAGAAATCTAGATGATATTTTTTCCTAGTTCGATTGAGTGAACAACCAAATTATTGCTTGTTGTAATGTCTTTACACGGGTTTTATTATTTCTGATAGCTGTGCAGTTGGACTTTCAATTTCTTTAGATATAAGAACTTTGAAACGAAGCTCCACTAATGATTCTTAAAAGACGAGCGTTCTTGTTTTCCGGTTAATCTCAAGATGTAAACAGTCTAAAAAAAGCCACTTATAGACTTCCGAAGTATCGATTGAGCATAGGTTTATGAAGAAATTTCTTGTAATTTTAGCGAATGTCTGGCGCTTTAACTGGGTTGGTGGACATGGAGAGTCGACCTAGGGGAGTTGGAAAACTCTGATTCCAAACCAGTAGTGCACATGGGCTCCAGTATCCTAAAGGAACAAATGGCGTATCAACCAATCGTTGGTCACCGGCTACCATGCGACTGCATCTCCTTACGATGCTCCACTATCTTGTGGATCAGACCTTTAGGTCGAAGGCTCCGGGTGTGGCCCCCTAAGAAAACCACCTGCTTCGGTTTGGGTACCTGAGCATTATCACAGCCCTCACAAATATCAAATGAGATTTGTGTGGTGCATATGTATTCGGTGCCTCCTTGTACCAATATCCATGTGTTAAAATAAATAAAAATAAATATTTTAATGTGATCTGTTTAGAAAAGATTTAATTGTTAATTTTCTTTGTATTTCAGATTGTTAACAACGTGAATTACAATCCTATCCTTTGTACATCTATGCTGATTTCGATTAATTATATAAAGAGAATTGTTGATACATACTGAACCGAGATTTCATTGTGCTAGATTATGCTTTAACTAGTGTAGTAGTGTTAATTTGTTGAGGGTTAAAGATAAAACAATAATTACAATGTCTTATTAAAGATGATAACTTGAATATAAATAATGATAAATTGTATGCAAGGATGGATAGTGGCTAGCAGTGTAATCGAGTTTGACGCTCGTTTTGTCCTATTTGGGACTCGTCAGCTGGGTGTACCTGCATCTCAGTGTTTATGTTCACTCTGGAACTCGGACTCAGTATCGTTCGCTTGAAACACCATCGCGTTATCCACTTAGCTACTGAGTCCTGATAGCCACTTGCTTATGCGATGGGGTGAATTTTAAATTCATTTCGTATTTTTTTGTTTGAATCTTCACATTGATGTTTAGGACTGTATTTGATCAGTCTCTTATTGGCATATGTGCATGCTGTGCGTATTACCTCGATAGAGCCAGCTGACGAGTTCCAAAAAGGACGAAACGCGTCAAACTGGATTCCACTGCTAGCCACTATCCATCTCTGCATATAATGCTTGTGAATTAAGGCTATATCGAGGCAGTCTGCACAGTATGCATATATGCCAACAAGGTATTGATCAATTGCAGTCCTAAACATGAATGGGAAGATTCAAACAAACAATACCAATGATAAAAATGTCTGTCATGTAGTTGTCATGGGGTAAGAGCAGTGTGTTATTCGGGTTAAGAATATTCGAAATGATCTGGTAAAGTCCAGAAGATGAAATGACTGGATCAGCAAAGAGATCTGTTACGTAGTGTTTGTGAGAACTTTCGTCAGAGAAATTGGTTTGCAATTTCAAATATAATGAGCTGAAAGCTTCAGGATCCATATCGATGTTAGGTTTAGGTGTTAGGAAGTTCCTATCGGACTAAACCTGTCCACTTCACAAAGTGTTAGGACTGGACCATTTGAGAGTGTTCGTACACAGTTTGAGAGACCCTAATCAACCTGCATTGAATTCAAAGTGCTGGATCTTTGGTACATTCATGCTTCCATTCGATACATAATTATTATTTACTACAGTCCGCTGGAAGATGTCATACAAACTCTGCACCAACACATTAACATACTTTATCTAAAGACGAACTTAACGAGCTTCTACTAATGTGCGTCAAAGATTTTCAACTTCGATTCAAGTGTCTTGAATCGTTCAGTTTATGGAGTGGCCATTATAAGTCCACTTGAACCAGTGCTTGGAGTTATATTTCTAACAAACTGACGACAAAGAGCAGTGAAATCAATGATAAGACGTTTCACTTCAAGGATGGTGACTCATGTGTTGTCTGTAATGATTGTAAACAAGCTACTGATATGTCAGATCTGAATAAAGAACGCTCTAATGTTTAAGTTATGACTGAGAATGGTATCATTCCTCACTTTCTAGATCTTGGTGTTAAAAGTAATACAAGTAGCCGATTTTACAAATTTTGTCTATCGAAAAGAAAGAGCTACCTATACTTGCATTGCTTTGGCCTTTGTCCAACAAGTTGTACAAGAGTTTTGGTTAGGACGCTATTCAACTGTATACATAAATCATGTTTAGTGGGCAGAACTGGATAGAAATCAACCTCATTTGAACGTTGTTTATGTGATAACGTTTATACGCAAAAATTCATTATGTGAATCTGAAGAGAATAAAATGAAGGAGATCGATTATGCTTCAAATGAGAATCAACCTGTCTTCCTGCAACTTTGCTTTAAGGATGATCAAATGACTAGGATGACTGATTCTATATTAAAGACCATCATCAAAAGATTTTTCAAGCTTCTATGATCCATTCACTGAACTTCGTGTTTTTAGTTTTTAATGATCTCTCTGTACCAAACAAATTACTCGGTGATCATAGTGTGGAAAAATTCCCGTCTTATATTACTTTCATTTGTGCTTTCCAGTTTATATGCACGTATCAAGCACATAGATTAGGATAAGAGAAAAAAATGCTAGCATCCACATCACTGAGCCCATCTTATAAAAGCCAAGATTTTAAAGACGGTATGTTTTAGCTCGTCATTTTCCTGATAGTGAACATGACGTTGATTTCTCAAAATCTTTCAAGATAATCATTAATTAAAGGACTTCGAATTTATTACGCTTTGCTAAAATCGTTGTTATATAAAGATTTAAAACAAAGTTATTGTTGGGATATTCAGAAAAATATCCCAAAAATTATCCTGTTTAGTCTAATGCTATCCTTGAACTTAAAATGGTATCATTTTCCTGTTGGCCAAATATTATACAAATGTTATTTTCTATTTTATGGTAGGTTGTGTTCTGCTTGATGGGTATATAAACAGAGTATATTTGAAATATAATGATTCATATTGCAGAGTCTGAGATTGGTGTTCTGGACTACAACTGGGTGGGCTGGCCGGAAAGCAGGACGTAGGTTGCTCGCACGTGTATTATACGTCACTGATTCGATCGATAATTCGCTGCTCTCTGATTGGCGGTTTCGTTGCGTTATCCAATATACAGGGCACACAGATTCACAAGATATAACAGTCATCTCTCCAAAGAATCATGACTTTATTACGTGACACTTTTCCTAACTAGCACGATGATAATTATGACATTAATTCCTTGTTTTTCGGTCTTCTGAGTGTTATCTTCAAGAATATTCGTATAGGTAACCTGTCATAAACAAAACATTTATATGATTAATTCTTCGCAGGGAATTTTCATCAGATTCTACAGTTATATAAATGTCCAAAATAAAACTCCAAAGAGTAAGCTAAGTTGTATTTAAGTAAAGCAGTCTATAGCTTTGATAATAATGAACTCAACTTATCAGATTTACAGTCCTCTAAATGTTAAAATCAGTGGTGATTGTTATAAAGAAACTGGAATTTCACACTCAGAAGGAATATATTTAGTCCTTTGATTTACTTTGTTTCATGTCATACGGCCTTGTTGAACATCAAGTGATAAAACCACCGGTCACAATAACAATTTTTCATGACTGTGCTCTTGAGTTAACCAATGAATCCACAACCATTACTAATAGTCTTGAGTCAAATCTAGATTCTTATTGTTTCCCGAAACAATGGCTTATCCTCTTGCCCAACCATTTGATTCTAGAACATAGTAGCCAGCCTGCCCTGTATGGATATTATATTTCAGACATACGTGGTTTGTATACAAGCAGATCAGTCCATATCACATTATGAAAATCATACAAGATCACGTCAAAAGTGGCTGTGAGTATGGGAGACTAACTAATAGATTGTGAATAAATTAAGGATAGAATATCATATAATAGTAGTTGAAGCGTCAAATGAAAGCTTATGATAGGAAGGATATATGTAGTCCATATATAATTCCTGAAAGTTACCATTAATTTAGTCTTCAAATATTAGACTTTGGCCATCTTCCGGCATGATACATCAATAGTCGTCTTAATCGTAAGGTAAAATGATGTGAATATTGTATGTGCAACGATTCATTTTGTTTTATAACGAATTGATCTATTTCAAATGTATTTATTAGTATCAGTCACATACATTGTTATTATGGTAATAACTATGATTCCTAATCTTGTGTACATATGAATAATTCAACTAGCACTCATTCTACCTAAACATTTCTTACCGAATTCATATCACTTGAACACGACGTAATTATTGAGCGATCAGTAGATCTGTTCTATAATTACACAGCTCCTCTCACTCTATGATATTTATACTCTGAATAATAATCTCACACTTTCATATGATGTATTAACTTACTCGTGTTAACAATGTATATTAGCCATTTCGACACTGGAGATATGAAATTCAGTTATTTGATTTTTCATTGAAATCATGAACCGATCACATTTAGACTAGCATTGAAAACCCGGAAGCATTGATCGGCCATTTTATCCAGGTATGGAATTCCTCAAAGGTGCTTATTCACGGCAACGCACCCAGGATTCGAAACGACAACATTCGGCCTAGCACATACGCTTAACATCTAAACCACTGAGCTGGTATCCAACGTTGTCAGAGTGCAACTTCAACCAATCCACAATGTTGTGCAACTATTTTCCATTATTTTCAGTCAGTAAATGCCTCACAGTCAACACAATTGAACTCGACTGATCAGAACATTTAATTGGGGTTCTGAGAAATACTTCATGAAGCAAGTCGCTATTAAGAATATGACAATATTCGGTTTGATTACTGTTCAACCATATAAAAGAAATTTGGAAATTTTCTGCATGCATCTAAATTTCATTTGCATACTCGACCAAAGCGAATACGTGGATTAACTAGAGCATTTGTGATTGGATTAATGTGAGTGTGTATTGCTGTGGACAATGTAGAGGTATTTCGAGTGGTGATGGTGGTGGTGATTTAGTCATTGAAAATCGAGTGATATTGTTGACAGTGTAGTTGTTGTTGTTGTTGTTGCATCGATGTTGTTGATGACGATGGTGGTGTTAGTAGTGGGAGAAGCAGATATTGTAGTGTAATTGTTTGTTGTGAGAGTGTCAGTAACGATAATGATAGTAATGGTTTGGTTTGAATAATTCGTGACAGAAGTGGTAGAATCGACAGTATTTGTTAATGATTTTGTTGTTGTGGTGACTGTGTTGGTGGTAGATTCGATAGTTGTATTGAGGGCATATATCTTGCAACTGCACCTTACTTAAACAATCAACTGTGAAAGAATTCTACGTGTTGAACACACCTGACCAGTATTCTCAACATCATCAGTTTCCTCGAATTATTCAGCTAGTTTCAGATCAAAAGAGAATGTAATAAATCTCAAAACACTACTCATTCAATATTGCGAATACGTGCATCACAACGACTGGAAAAATCCATATGAATGCATACACCTCCACATACTCAATACACCACCAATCATATGTCAACTGACACTATATATCTGGTATGCAACCTTCTTGTAGTGGTGATCATAG